GACAATCGGTGAATGTCTCAAATTGTCAAGAAAATACCAGAAAACTCTTAAACACGACATTATTCAGTTACTTTACAAAAAAGTAAGTAAAATGTACCATTCTCTATTTCACTGGCCTAAATTAAATTTTTTTTTAATGTAAATTGTTGAAGTACAGAATTTTTCCGAGACCCTCGAGGCTTTCCGAATAAAATTCGGTTTCGAGAAAAATTTCTACATAAAAGCTGTTTGCTAAAATGTAATTTAACAGAACTGTTTCTTTGCTTATTTCCACGCATGATGAATTCCAAGGTAATGAGTTTAGCAATTTCGCGCACAAAGGATTTGAAACCCTCAAAAGCTTTCAAAGCGTCCAGGATTTTCAGAGCAAAAGAAAATTTGCTAAACGACATTACATTTACTCATTAAACTCAAACAGATTAATGCAAAGTTCGCCGATCTACAATAGCTCGACAAAAGTCGCGTTATCGGGAGGATTGCAACAGAATTCTTCCCAATGATTTCCCCAAAGTTCTCAAGAATCTAGATATTTGTCGGGAATTTTCGAAGTTTCTGGGAATCACGGAATCCTAACAGTATCCAGGTATTGTTGGTTATTTCGAGGTTTTCAGGAATCGCGAAATTATTCGAAATTAGAAAATATCTCAAGGAACTCAAAATTCTCGAGAATTCTGAAATTTTTGATACATGAGATTCAATTCGATCAGAGTGTCGTGTTCCCGATATCCTCGCACCTATAATGCGTACTAATATGAACAATTTCTTTTCGTTATAAATCACTTTCACCGCAAATATCCGAAAACATTTTTATACCATTTTAAAACTTGAGTCTTCGTCTTTGCAGTGGTTGCAAAATTATAGTCTGGTCTCGCCGAGTATTTCAATAAATTTCACCGAAATTGCATGAGTGTCTCGATATGAATAATTTCTTTCTTTGTGAACTGCAAATTCGCAGAGTTCTATCCCTAAGACAGTTCTACACTGTTTTAAAGCTTAAATCTTTCACTCTGCAATGGTTGCAATATTATAGTCGGAGATCATCCGAAAAATTTTTTCCAATCCACAATGAATATCTTGTTCCGTATGGAACATATTGTTTTATAAATATTTGTAGCTAATTTTCATACTATTTTAAAACTATTAACTATGTTCTCCCGTGTAATGTAAAAATGTAAAATAAAATTTCCGTTCGATTACACGTCCTTTAAATCGATCGAATATTGCGCGTTCGAATTAAATTTCCGATGTGAAACAAACAAAACGAACAAAACGAGTCGACCGTGTGAGAAAGAAAATCGCTTATGGTTAGTGGAATGAAATTTTCGAAAAATGCAAGGACGCGTCTGGTACGAAAGGAGGCTCACGACGTTTGAAATAATTGCGTCTGAGAGGCAGTGTTGCCTGCCAAACGTAAACGTAATTGTTCCCTGCAGTTTATTACGGCCCGAGCGACGTAAAGAGACAAATGGCAAATCAAATTATATAAATTACGCGAAATTCTCCTCAGTAGCCGAGGCCACTTTTGAATTCGGTAATACGAGTGCTGCCTCTGATGAAATCCTCCAGGGCAGAAAATGAAATTAGCTTCGTCTGAAGTATAGCCATTTAAAAGCGAAGGATTGTTCCCTGCTCGGCTCCTTGATTAGTAAATTGAAATACGATGAAAAGGGAGTAGGTTAAACGGCGTTAGTACGGTATTCGTGAGGAGATGAAGTGCAATACATACCCGCGAAACCAAGTTAAATCTGATACAAAAAGTGCATTTCGCTAGTCATCAAAAATGATGTTCAATTGCGTGTACTTGCAATGTTAGTTCAGAGTATACAGACATTATCGCACATTATGTACACGTATTTGAACAGTATCGAATTATATAAAATACAATTCAAATGAATCAGTTTAATTTAATTGTGAGGTATACAATTGTTTGGAAGTAATCAAATCTTGAATGTATGCTCGAGTATGTTGAAATTAAATATATTATGTATAAAATATAAAAATAAAAATATATAAATATAAATATAAATATATTATGTATAAAATATAAAAATAAAAATATATAAATATAAATATAAATATATTATGTATAAAATATAAAAATAAAAATATATAAATATAAATATAAATATATTATGTATAAAATATAAAAATAAAAATATATAAATATAAATATAAATATATTATGTATAAAATATAAAAATAAAAATATATAAATATAAATATAAATATATTATGTATAAAATATAAAAATAAAAATATAAATATATTATGCATATTAAAGTTATAAACTAAATAGGAAGCTTACCATTACAAAATTATGATAAATATTGTACTAATTCTTTCTATTTTATAGTCACATAATTAAACAAAATAAATAATTTTCTATAAATAAAGAACAGATAAAAATATCTATAAATTTAATTTAATAATTTCTTATCAATACTAGGTTCGAGTATGCTTCATGCTTGATTTTTTTTTAAGTATTGTACATAGATACCTCTTATAGTACTTGTGAAAGATTCAGAGGATTTGACTACTTCGACACGTTTTATTTTATTTTATTTTTTTTTTTTTTTTGAATACCTGAAAGGGAATATTTGATTATTGTTTATATGCTATCGGTTATACTTGCCAGTGCATACTTAATCCCGTCACTTAATCACTATTCGCAACGGGACGCCTCAAGCACCCGGCAAAGTCAGCTTTTTCTCTTCTCGAGAGACGCGTTTTAGCGGATGAAAAATAATTGAGGTTCCCGCGGTTTCCTCGCAATTTCACCCGGTGACGGGGCAATAAAAATGTCAACATATGCTCGGCGGAAGTAATTTTTTATTCGCCAAGGCAAACAGCTAGACAAATTTGACTAATTTCGTATGCACGGGCGGCTTAATTAACACGGCAAAGTCGTTGAACAAAGCTGAAAGTGTTTGCAGGTGCTGCTTTACACCGAGCCCGGGCTGTTACAAATACGAATAACTTAATGAACAAGTGGAACACATTAATGAAACCGCGCCAGTTCACGCAATTACGGGTAAACTTTCTTTTGTGCAGCGGCGGCTGCGACAGAAGAGAAGAAGGGGGGAAAAAAATAGAGAGAGAAAAGGGGAAAAAGAGCGAAAAGAAGAAAAAAAGAAACGCCGTGTCTTTGTCTCGCCGGACGCGTGTGCAAATATCAAACAAGGAGGCGTATTAACGCGTTTATTACAGTCGTCGGAAAACAATGTCGTTCGATAAATAAGCCGGCCGTACTCTGAATTTTCGTTAAGTTCATTAACGCTCGCGCCGCATTGCAACACGGCGATGTTTTCGTATTTAATTATAAAATTACAACGATGTTGGCCCATCATCAATGATTTCGAACGACGGAATAACGAGACCGTTAAAGAGAACCGGTCGACGACCGTTCGATTTGCAATCGCCTCCCCTCTCGTTAAAATCGATCGAGCGGAGTAAACGTTCGAAACTTCTGGAAACAGTAATAGCATGGGGGAGTTTGACCTTTTGAAACTTGATGGCAGATATCGAATATGTGTTATTGGACAATAACAGCTTCCTATATAAAATTATTTACGTACAATAGTTGGCAAATGTGTAATAATAAAAATATACTGTTACTGTTTCGTACGACTAGTCCAATTCGAGTGAAAGATAATTTCAGACTATAATGGAATTTTAAATTGGAAATTTGTTTGCTGTTGATTCTTTTTTTTTGTTTTTAATCTTTTGCGATAATTGGATCCAGATGGTCTGTTAAATTGAAAGTGATGAATACTTAATACCTCATAGATTCATTTTGTAAAATACAAAGGTATTCATTTTATAGAAACTTTTAGAATGTCGATAGAAACACATACACGGTTCAATTTCTCTAAAATTTCAATGTGAAATAAATTTATTTTAGATCATTCACAATTAGATGACTCTGTAGGGTATGTTTTAATTATTCTTCTTTCGTCTATGATTAATCAGTATTATCTATATTGTTCTTATCAATATCTCAGTGAATATTCTTTTAGGATCTATGACTGAAGTATTTAAATTAATATTACTTTTATTCAGAACATACCAGATAATTAGTACCTGCCTATAGTTGTTTATAACAATCATATCAAATAAAATTGAATAATTTCATTTGAATTATAGGTATCCAAATACTTGTGGGCGATAATGGCAGTTCTAAAGAAGGTGAAAAACATTTTACTGGTAAGAATATTAAATTCTTCTCAATTGAAGCAGTTTAAGATATCGACAATTTTTCATGGAATGTAAGAATACTTACTATGCCGAGCCAGAAGTATTGTTGATATTTGAAATTGAAAAAGAAAATCGTACAAAAGTCCACCTCATTTTAAAACTTCTTTTTATTTCACGTCACAGCATTGAATTTGTTTTGTTTAAAGATGTTTCTACATTATTTTAGAAAAGATTAAGTAAAAGTATCATCATACCTCTCAAAAACTTGTCAAATTTAAACGTCTTTATGGATACTAAAAAATATTTTTCTACAATAACTAAATCTACCATAGTCTCAGAAATTAAAAACCTTTTACGAAGATCTCTTTAAATATGTTCAATTGTACGATTTTTGTTCACAAAGTGACAAGAATCTGAAACATCAGCAATTTTCCTATTCCAAACGATTAAATCGTTTAATCAAAAATCAAGAAATGAGACTGAAACGGTTGAATAAATCTATCTGGGATAAAATGAATCCATCATCCGTTCATCCACGTTAATCGAAACAATCTCCCCCAATTATTTTAATATTCGTCCAACCTAGTTCCCATAAAAGTTACGTATTTTTTTCTTGGTTTTAGCTACGAAATATGAGGGAAATATAAAAGATACGGGGCTGCACGCCGGGCGTATAATATAACGCGGAAAACAAGGTTGCGGAAGAGCCACGTAACGTAATATCGCGTTGAAAATTCGAGCAAGTTGGAGAAAGACAAGAACCGTATTAAAAAATAATACAGAAGCAGTTAAATTTGTTTTCTTACGACGCCTAGCTCGCAGTGGCTTGCTTCAGACCCGTACTGCATCCGACATTGGTCATCCGCGTCGTATACATTATCCCCGGAAGGAGATTCGTATTGGGAAACTGATGATCACGTTGTTCGTCTTCCAAGCAAAATCCTAAACCTGTTCTGAAGATATAATCTTCGGCAATATTTTTAGTATCGTCTATTCAAAGAAGAGAGATATTGCACACTATGGTATAAATGTTATATAATATTAAAAATTATAAAAAATTATTTACGTGTAACGTTTGGTAAATAAACAAGGTGTATACTCACCTTAAATATATTTGTCGTTTTCATGAAAAAATTTTGTTAACGAAAGTTATTCAGTTCAGAATAATGATTTTGTAGTTTCTGTAGATTTTTGGAAATTTCAAAGTCCACCTCCGCCTTTTTTAAATGAAATGATGTATTCTTTTTATTCACTAATTCTCTGTGACATTCCTGATGAAAAACGCGACTATTAATTTAGGAAATATTTCAGTTTTAATATTTTAACCATAAATCTATTAGAGACATAGTAATTTTGTACTCTATCTTCGTACTGTTCTTGTCTTTCATGCATAAATTTTACAAAATGAAACTTAAAATATCTACTATAATATCATAATTGGTCGAGCATTCTTACCATGACAATTGAGAAATCGCATAAATTTTAAATCTCTTCCAAATCGTTTATTTTGATCGCAAGTGCGTAATATTTTCTTTTTATAGAAACATCGATAAACGTCGAGAATCCAAAGGCGACATTCGTTTGATCGTAACAGGTGTTAAATCGCTTTTACACTTTGGCATAATGGTGACATTAAAATAAGTATCTACTATACAGGATTTTCAGCGGAAATTTATCGTTTGTCAAAGTATTAAATTTTTTATCGTTAACTTCTCTCTGTTCTTTTTCATTATTAAAAACGCGTACAATGGCATTAACCCATTAGAGGCCAACATTACGATACTAATGCGATACTTTTTAATCAATTTGCATTATAAAAATTTTACTCTTTCATTCTGTGGCTATAAAAGAATATCCCAAGGGTTTGCTTAATATTTTTTTCATAATCTTCGACCTACGTCCCAGCGATTTTATGAAACATTAAAAAAGAAAAGAAAAAAATGGAACTTTTTAATAATACGATAAACTACTGCTGCTTATATAGGCAAAGCAAATGAGAAAGTTTGATAAAATCATAAGAATTTTAGCGACACAGAAAGGATAGAAGATACAGTGTTCTTTCGTTCCGGAGTTCTGGAAGAAACCCAATTTTATCGTAGAATTTTAAAACGTTTTTCGGTCAACAAGGTTCTCCGCTGCTTTAAAATGAATGAGAGCAAAAGCAATCTCAAGCTGATCTGATAAAGTTTCGGCGCTGTAGAATGCAGCTTCTTACTCGATATACGATTTCAACGAACTCCTCGAACACTTGGACCACCTTTTCGTGACATACGTGTTCCCTAGGTGCATGACCGTCGTCTCGATGTACCCTTTTCTGTGACGAACAATGCCTGGACAGTCGTTCTCCTCTTGGACGTCGTGCGACATGCCTAATCTGTGAGAGTGAAAATTCATTTCAAGCTTGATCTGTCGAATAAATGACCAAGTCAATAATACGCAGTGATCATAGAAGCTACTCGCTTATATCTCTGATTTTTCAATGAAATTTTTAATGAAATGCATTGGATTCTACATTTCTTTTTCACAATATCAAATTCTTATTGTCCCTGATGGTCAAATATAGTATCACGTAGCTGGATTTTACGCGTATAATTTCTTAGAAATTTGAAAATTTTTTCAAAAATAGTGTAAATAAAATAGATTCTTTTCTGGCGCAGTTTAGCTATCCCTTGAGGACCTAATTAACAATTAAGTACAGCGATATGTCATTCGTAGTCATCGCGAATGAACGAAATATTTCAGCGTTCGTCGTAAAATGTCAAAATTCCAGTAAACGTTTATTGGTTCGTTGCTTCGACGAATGTCAATTGAAAGTCATTCAAAGGTCAACCAACCTAATGTCAACTGTACGCAGTATAATTAGAAACTTGTGCTTAACATTCTCTAAAAAGCTGCATGTTAATCGAACTGATATCTCGCGATATCTTACGTTTCGTCGCGTTCTTTAAGCTTTCACATTTCCGAGCTGCGGTATCCCCTGGCGCAAGAGGGATAAAAGGCAGAAGCGGAAGAAGAAGAATGAGACTCGTACGTGTGTCCGATGTGATGGGCGATGCGGTATCCTGTGTGTAGGCCAACGTCATTTATAATGGCAGCGCCTTTCAGAGGGTCGCAAGTCCCAGCGATTGTCGAGGCACCGGTGAAACCGCACAAGCTCGGCGAATCGCAGATGTTACTCCTGGTCAAATGAATGAACGTTGAAGCTCGTTCGAGGTTAAGTTGGACGCGCGCAACATTAATTCGATCGCGAGGTACTTTGTAATCAGAATGGCGCAGTCGGTGGTGGTTCGGGTGTGAATCGTCGCCGGGATTGATCATTTCTTGCCACTGTTGGAAGTATTTCAGAGTTTGAAACTTTCCTTATCGCTACAGTCATCTGTAGCGATTCGACCAAATTGAGTAATGTTTGTAACAAAAGTGTTGGTTTAGTAAATAATTTTCGATCAAACGCAATTACGTACAATCGAAAAAACATTGAATTATTCGTTGTTGAAATAAATTGGGACAGTTAATTACATTAAATATTGAATATTTAATTTGTATTACTTATTTATAATTATAAATATATATATTGTACAATTAATATAATTATAAATATATATATATATATTGCGTGTTATACAAGCTTTTTTTTTTAATTCATTCAAATATTTGCGTTTGATCGAAAACCTTTCATCTGGAATGTAATCGTAAAATAAAGAAAAGAACCTTATCTTCTTGGACATGCATTCTTATGATTCTGACAATGGTTAAGTCTATTGGAATCTCTAGACTGTCGTCGTGCAACAATCTCTTGAATATTAACAACCCTTGAATAATCCTGATTGAAATAGCATTATAGAATTGTGATAATAATTGAACGTTTGAAATATATGTATTGTATTATAAAAGTCGGTGCCATTACATTCATTCGTTGAAAATATAAATACCCAAGGAAGAGCATGAGCAGCATTATGAACTCTTAGCTAGTATTACCAGATTATAAGATTAATTTGGAATTTTTCATTCGATTGGAAAAATTGAATTTTTTTTGACTAATTTCTATTAAGAAGAATGCAGACTGTATCTATAATTCAATGATACTAATCAGAATTACTCTATATATACTAATACATTAATTATATACTAAGCAGAATTACTCTATCTATAACTCAGTGATACTAATTGAGGGTCGACTTTGATTACGCCAAGTACTTCCAAAAACTTGTTTGGCACACTTTATTGACGACAAAATTTCATTATAATTTAACGATTAACTCACACCGTTGCGCAAAAATTGTACGCATAATTTTGCTTAATTTACAAATTATATATATTTCAAGAAACGCGATAGAAATGTACCAAATGAAATTAAATTAAACGCGCGTTCATACTCATATTAGAATATTCTCCTGCTATTCATTACAAATTTTTAAAAGTTAAACATATTCAATTTGTCCTCGCCTTTTAAGAACACCGAGTAGGCGTGTTTTTTACACTTTCAATGAACGAGTGGAGTCGCCAATGAAACAGCCGTCGAGCGTTAAAAAAAAGAAAGAAAAGAAAAATGCAGGAGCAACAAAGATGTACGAGGAAATTATACGAAAAGAGATAGATTCGAATTAATCTACGATATCTTGTTCTCAAGACGCACGAGAACTCGGGGCCTATTTTTAACCCTTAATGAAAGGCAATTAGGGGGAAAGTAGGGCAAAGTTAGTACCATGTTGAGCAGCGTCAGCGCGTAATTCTCGACGTCGAAATCCTGGCGATAATCGAGAACGGTCTTGTCGAGTACCAGCAGCAGTTCCATCGTGTAGGATTTGGCCTGCTTCTTAGACGGGTGGCTTTTCTGCGAACTGAAAGCGCGCTTGGCAATGGTTTTGGCCATATTGCCGGTGACATTACAGAGAATCTCGGCGTTCCTTTCGAATTCGTCCGATCTCTTTTTGTAGACGACATGCGGGTGCTCCGTTTCTTTGGTAAAGTCGTGACCCGCCACCGGCTCGATCGTGTACCACGATCGTTTCGTTCTAATATATACGGCCTGGGGATGAGAACACCGAGATTCCTTCTAGTCAGATTTATCTTACGGCGAAACGATCAGCCCACCGATATTTGTTCCAGTCGTTTGAAAGCTTTAGGGGCAGCCAGCCCGTCCCTCCCGTAATCGATTTAAAAACCGTATCCCCTTGTTTCCTTTATTCGCGGTGCATCTCTCTCCCGACGTTCTACAACTACGTAATTTTCGGTTTTACGCTATCTCGAAATCCGTTTCTGTCGCGGATAAACCCGGCCCACTTACGCTCCCACTCAAGAATTTAGAACGAAACAATTATTCCCTCCGGATCGATAGGCATTTTATTTACAACGTCACTTTTAATATTTTTTATTATTGATATTACTTTTTCCTTTTTTGTTATACTAAAGATCAAAGTTATAGTCGAATTGGTGAGTTGAACGTGGCACGTGTTCAAAAAGAATAGGTTTTCGACACAATCATCTTTACAGTGTCGTTTTCGAAGTTTAAATTCTGTCAGAGCTAATCTAAATGAACTTTTTATTTAATCTAAATGAACGTTTTATTATGAATATTTTATTTGTCAAATTTCATTCGCGTGAAATTTGTTTTATTATTAAAATAAAAGCATTGGATTCAATTAACTTTTCAGTCAGGAAATTAAATGAAATGATATAGTGCCATAGTTATTCATTAGCTTTAAATGTAATTGAAATAAAAATTATGTGACAGGCAGTACACGACTACACTTCAATTTAAATATTTTTTTTTTTTGAAATATAAAAGTCTACTTTTAGACTGTACCATTCTTCAATTCACCAATTCAATTGTGATATTCTCGTTTGCAGTGAGAACGTGCGAAAAAAATTCTTTCGTCCAAACATTGGAGCGGGAATGTGCATAGAATTTTTACTTCGTATTGAAAATTTGCTCGAAGCTATCTCACAACTTAGGGCAAAATACGATACGATTGTTCCAAGTTTCAAACGACTAATCTCTAGATAAATACAAAGACAGTACTAACGAGGTCGTAACAAGTGGACAGAGCGCTGTTCTCTGATTGACCATGAACACGATAATGGCACTGGGTGTCGCGCACTCTTTGTAATTTTACGCCCTTTAACAGTTCATCGTCGTTTTCAACTTTCGGAGATCTCGATGCCCTGTGATCTTCTATGACAGCGCCCGAACAAACGATTGCCAATTTATTCAGACTGCAAGCCACAAATTGATCTTCGTTGAGCTTCCGTTATAGTTGAAATAAATTGCTCGCTCCAGAGTGGTTTAATTTAAAATTAAATTTGAAATTTCGTTACATCAGAAGTCAAATATCGACTCTCTGAATTTTACGCGGCTTTATAATTATTACCATATAAAATCTCCGATCATTGTCGATGATTCTCTTTCTCCCTAACGTAATCGAGATTTTAACCGTTCGCGCAACAGTCTACCATCTTCCAAAATGCAAACGAGCATCAAGAAGATCGAGAAGGGGCAAAAAAAAAAAAAAAAAGAAAAAAAAGAAAATGGAAGGAAAGCAATTAAAACGAAGTGTAAGTGGCAACTTGCAACGTCCTCGACGAGCTCTCGGGCTCGTGGTAGGATCGAAGGACGTTCTCGCTTTAAGGTTTTTCAAGGTTCCTCGACGAAATTAGCATAGACATCGAGGACGTAGGGTATCGAGGAGGATTTTCAACTCGCCTGGGGCAACGAGGCGGGAATTGGGCCGGAGCTCGAGATGGTGTTCCTCGTCGTCGATTTGCAAACGATAGTGAACAGCATCGTCGTGAATCCTATCCGCGGCCGTTCGATCCGTGTAGAAGGAACGCTTGAAGTGATGAGGTATTTGATGCGACACGAACTTTCCATCCGACCTGACTTTCCTCGGGACCACGATCTCGTATCCGGCGCGCGTGTTACGCCCTTGAAAAATGAATCGTCGTTATCAGGCTGTCGCCTCCACCCCGCTGTGATCGCGTCTCATCTCGCCGGGAACATCTTCCATCCGACTCGGATTCAATCAATTATTCCACGGAGAATACCAATTTTCGAGTGGAACTCCGTTCCGGCAGAGGCGGAATCGAGGAATCAGCTTGCCTCGCTCCTCTCGTCATTCACGTTTCCCTTTCCCGTAATGGGTGCGTGCCCACCCTTGATTTTACAACTTTCTCAATTCGTTGATTAACTAGACAACCATCTAAATTCGTTCGCCGGGACGACACGTTCGTTTTACGCACTGTCGTAGTTATACAAACTGTGTCAGTCAATTCAAACGTAATGAAAAAAGTGAAACGAGAGTGTCCCCTTCCTTTTGAAATTTTCTTGGCCTTCGATCAGGCTGTATTTTATTTTTTAAATTAATCATTTTAATTAACAACGGCATTCTGAAGTTGTTTCTTGACTGACGATAGTTTTAGCTCTGCAACATGTTTACTTTATTTGTGTATCGTGCCGCGAGTCTTTCAAGAAGCTAAATCGATCAACTCTCGCTAGATTTGAGCGTGACGAGAAAAGAAAAGTGAATTGAAATTTAACTTCTGACAAGTTTTAATTAATATTAATTATCATTAAATTATCAATATTGATTAATACCGATTATTAATATCGTTTTCTAGACCTTAACTTTTGTAAAATGATGTGAAGCTAAGAACTATCTATTATCCCTGTCTAGACCTTGCAAATTTCTTTATTTCATAGTCTAAACTGGACATTTATCGATTTGCATACAAGTTTAATAACAGTTTAATTTTTTTCTTTTTGTATAACGAAGCCGGTAATAATAAATTCTATTTCTGCTAGCAACGGGTGAAGATACGACGTGATTAACCTAAAATTATGCACCATTTTACATAAATGGATTCGGTTACGATGTTCGATAATTTCACGAAATGGATCGAATTCTCTCGTTGAGTCGACGCAACGTTGTTTCACGCTCCTCGAAGATATTTCTTCTACGGATATGGCTCTGTTTGTTACGTTCCGCAGCTACAATTTACGTTGGTTGTTCCGTTCTTGTTCGATAGCGTGTTCCGCGAAAGGTCGACCTACTTCCGGCGGACGGTCGAGTCGAGTAACGAAAAGTCTTGCGCGCGCGAGATCGTGTTCGCTAATGAATCCGCTTTATCGCGAAAAGTGCTCTCCGCGGTTTAATTTCCTGGTCGCCGATCACCACGAGAAAATTTCATCGATTCTTTTTGCTCTTCGTTATTTTTGATCCCCTTTTCTACGAAGCAATCGACGGAAGAAGCGAAGTTGTCGCGCGATATTTAAAGAATGCCTTCCTTCAATCGTTGTGACTTCGAAATCAATTTAGTAAGACTTACATGTATTACGTATTATGTAT